AACGGGAAACAACCAAGCCAACCAGGATGTCAAAACACTTGCCTGCAAAACGATAACCCGATAACCAATCCCACATGAAGCACCGCCATCCCTCCTCCCTAAGATAGACCAAATAAGGGGACAGAATCAACCGGAATCGAAGCAGACAAGATTCTCATTCAAAAGAAACATTCTACCATAACCATAGTTAAAAAAACGGAACCATACAGTAGGTCCGCAAAACAAAATACCCCTAAASAAAGGGGAAAGACAATAGGAAAAGATATGGGACAATAGGACAAGGATTATTTTCTACCATAGCCAAAGAAGAGCCTGCTAGTACAGGCCCGACGCTAGCCGCATCATCTACAAAAGTAKAGAGCTAGCAACGTCGGCAGTATAWATTGTCACATGATATCAGAGCGCCTAAGCGAAAAAACCAAAAAAACAAAAAAATATTAAATTCGTTTTTAATCTTCTTCCTTACAACTCCCCTATATATATGATCATACTATGATCGATCATATATAGTCTAAATCCTAAAAAGACTTAAAAAAGGCAACAATAAGTATCACGCCAAGTGCTATGCGTGTTGCCGTGTGCAGTGTGCACATCAGCCATTACATAAACCACAGCTTGCTCGACACAGAGCTTATACACCACCAGTCTTCACACATCCCACTCCTCTCCTTCTCCCGGCCTGCTACGTGCAGATGTCTGCACAGACCTGCCCATTTGCCCTACCTGAGAAGAAAAGTATGGGCTTTGTCCAGAAAGTCTACGTTCCCTAAAATACTGTATTATGATATCGATTATGATGAGCAGTGAAGACACCCCCCCCTTGTTATCTACCCCGCCATGTCACAACGTTCGCTCAGACAGGATCTCTCTGATACAATCTAGGTTAACTTTTTTTTTTACTTTTTTTTTTTTGGTAGGCTGCATAGGTCACCTATTTATATTTGTACATTTAGACAAGAGCAATATGGGCGTGAGGTCGTAAACTGCCAAGCTATGTAGGACCCACACAAGGATTCTATTGTCATCCCTCTCCCCCTCCTCCCACCCCTCTTCCCCCTCCTTCACCCCCCTCCCCCCTCCTTCCCAGTGCTTTCTTTTCGACTCTTCATGATCAGCAAAGGACGTAGTACCTTTATTTTGTACTTCATCGACTCTTGCGAGCCTCCAGGCACAAAGTGCAGCAATTCGGAGGACAACTCCACCGAATTGCTGGATACGAGGTGTTTTTTTTTTGACTTTTTTTCCGCACAGACGTGCTGCCTAGGTTTAGGCTCCTGTGTGTAGATCCTAATACGTAAGACGCATGCAGTCTTGTGATATAATGTCTCACTGCCCATGTCAGAGCCCGCTGCAGGGCAACAGCACACCACTGATCAACTGGGAGCACGCTGAGAAAAGTGGGTGGGTCCAATGCCAGATCCCAGAGAGAGGTCCTGAAAGGAAAGAGCCACAAATAGGGACAATGGTAGGCAAATGATTGACTTCCGAGACTAACCATCTCTTCACTGACAGGCAGAAGGGGAAAAAGCGGAGGGAGGGGAGAGAGAGGGACAAGCACGAGGAAATCCGATGAAACCGTGCGGAGGACCCCCAAAACCTCCCATTCTCATTGCGTATATAGACGGAGTGCCAGACACCCCGACATAAGACAAGAAATACAAAAAGATAGGCAAGAACCCTAGACAGAGACATCTCTCTCTCTCTCTCTCTCTCTCTCACACACACACACACACACACACATATACAAACACTCTCTCTCTCTCTCTCTCTCTCTCTCTCTCTCTCTCTCTCTCTCTCTCACACACACACACACACACACACACA